AGTGAGGCTCTGGGGGAGCTGAGGGTTCCATAATTTTAAACTATTAAATGGAAACTTAAATTGATGGGAAGGATGAGAGTAGAAAGAGAAAGCCTGATGCTTTGGAAATCCTAGTTCTCTACAGTTGAACAGTTGCTGTTAGCGCACTTATCAATGTTATCCAGTTATATGTATTATAAAATATTTGGCTCATGGCTTTTAATCATGATAAAAGCTACCATAAGCTCTACTTACCCACATAAAAGAGTACACTGTATTATACACATACTTGTCACATAATCAAGAGAAAAAGCTAAATTGTAAATATGTGACAAATTATATGTCTCCCTTCACCTGGTCATTGGCAATGTATTTGTGCTATCTACACTCAGATAAATGTGAATATTAAAAAAAACAATGATCTATCACCTTCACCTGGTTAAAGACCATATGCACGGAGAGCCAGAGGTACTAGAAATGTCTGCTATTTTGGGGTATCTAATCTGTGACTCCTAGGGTCTGATTTTTCAGAAGACTTGGCCATATGCAACACTTTCTACTTCAAAGCACAGCTTCCACTGACTTCAGCTGCAGCTGTTGAGTGCTCAGCATTTCTGTAATACAGAACTGGGTGGTTGAAGCTTGATATTCACAAGCAGAACACAACTGATAGCCTCCTCTGAAAAGGTTTGGTTTAAAGTGACTTGTTTCATATGCTATTTGAAGTACCCAAGAGTAGAGGCAGGGACAGAATCCCATTCCACAGGGTAGCATTCAGCCATGAGACCATTGTTTCTCTTTCTACAATCATCTGCCTCTTTCACTAAGTTTCTTAACTTTTGCAAGAAATCTGGGTTCTTTTTGAAAGAGCTTCTTCGACTATTCAAGCTGGATTCAGGCCCAGTGTAAGTTTAGTCTATGCATCATATGACAGTCTTGCTCTAGCAATTCTAGGGAACATGCAACAAAACTTCCCCCTCACCCCCTAAGATAACTTGGGTAAATGTTGGAAGAGGGACAAGGTGGAAGTAGGACAGCCGG